CAGGAATGCTAGCAGTGCTCACTTAAAACAACCAGCCGGCATTTGGGGGCAACTCACGTCTTGAACAAGTGTGTTTCTTCCACATGAGTGGTTTAGGCTCACATCTTTCTTACCAGGGAGGGGCACCCTGCACAGGAACCCCCTGTACACAAGGTAGAGCAGTTCGGTCCCATAGCTTGTGCGTGCCCTAACTGAAATGTGACAGCACAAGGATGGGAGAGCTGTAGCCCCTTCAGCTGCTAAGTGATGGTAATGAGCAGAAGGCGGTACAGAGCTGGCAAGCTTCAAAAGCCAGAACGAGTAGCAGCATGAGGGAAGCGTGGCACTGTAGTCTCTTAGTAAAAATGTTCAGGAAGCAGAGAGGAACCTGGGGTTTTAGTTACTTTTCCAGACTCTGCTTTACAGATTTTTATCTTCCAGAAATGGAATTGATGAGAACTGGAGACAGCCTTTAAAATAAAGACTTGGGAACCAGGCCTCTTCCCCTGCGCAACATCGTATCTAGGCTACAGCCACTCTTCTTACTTGCTCAGCTGCTGGGCCCTTGAATATCACAATCTCTGTGCCACCTCTTCTGAATGCAAGTGGCTGTGGCTGTTGTGTTAAATGTGCTTGCAGAGCCAGCCCTCTATAGGCTTTTCAGTGCTGCTCCAGGCTGTTGCTGGCTCCCAGTAGGGCTTAGCTTAGGGGTGGTGCGCAGCATGTAATGCCAGAGCCGTGCAACAGGGAGGAAGGAGGAGGTGTTTGATATTCAGGCCTCTTGCAGCTGCTGAGGAGTTTTCAGGTCGTAGCTTTGGCCGTTATTGCTGCCTTGAGATCTAATCTGCAGTCTGATCACAGCCTTCCTGGACATTTCACAAAATACTTCCAGCACTTTCTAAAGTACAACTTCATTAGTGTTGTAATGTTTGGGCCCAAATTTGCATGTGCACCATATTCCAGACACAGTCATAACCTTGATGGTCACTGTGAGTCCAGCAGTTTTCAGATAGCTTCACTCTAGCTGGCAACTGAATTGAAATGCTGCAGTCATTACTTGTACAGGGGAGTAAATGAGCAAAGCTTCATGCTTGAGCAGGTACCTAAGAAGAAGTGCCCCACAGCAGAGCTGGGCGACATGCTTGCAGTGGAAGGGCCTGCCAGGAGAAGGTGCCTGTAGAAATGAAGGACTATGGGCTCCTGTTAATAACACAGGTCTTGAAAGACAGAACCCCTGCATTGCCATCCCTCAAGGAGTGTGACCCAGAGGCTCATTTCCCATCAGGTGGAGATCAGTTAGAGATGCAGGAAGAGCTGAGGAACAGCGTCAGAGAGAATGACATAGAGATGAAGGCAAAGGCAAAAGATGGTGTAACTGGAAGAACTGAAGGTGGAAGAGTAATGGCACTAAGATTTCTTCATCTGTGAATGAAAGTTCCACAAGGAGATTGAAAGGAAGATAGAGTAGTCAAGATTTACATCAATTCCAGAAGCAGACAGCAGTGTGTGACTGTTGAATCCTGGTTATGTGATCCAGAATATAAAATACTATGCTTGCACTAGTTAAAAATCTTCTTGAAAGACTTTCAAATGTTTGTTTTCTTTTTAAGTGCCAGTGGGGGAAAAAACCAACCAACCAACCAACCAACAACCAAAAAACCACAGGTTCCCAAGTCTCTAAATAGTGCTAGTGGGGAGAACACTTGTCAGAAGCATCTCCATGTAGCACTGGATGAATAACCACACTCATGAGCATGAGTATTTAGAACATGCAGAAGGAAGAAGCAGGGGTAGTAGCAAGGAGTGTGTGCAACTGTGTACATTCTCTTTGCTCTCATCTGGCAAAGAAACTTAAAGCAGGGCCCTACAGTGAGGATGTGGGAGTGTTTCTGGTGGTGCTGAGGAATTAGCTTTGTATCATTCCAAGACTAAAAGGAACACTACCTCTCTGGATTCAGTTAGCTGGATGTGTTGAAGATGGAGGTGACATAGCAAGACAAGCATTGGACACTGAAGAAGAAAGAAGCAAGGTGGAAGCAATGCTGAAAGAACATGCTTTGTGCAGATCTAGAGACCAGATAATCCCTTAACCGAGTGCGATGCTTCATGGTAGAAGAATATAAAATATGCACTGTCTGTTAATCTATTTTAGTGGGATGGTACTAACCAAAACTTCTGCTGGCCACTGAGAGCAACTAGATGTAGACTGAGAAGGAGGAGGATGTGGACTAACTGAAAAGAGGAGACTGCAGTCGCTTACCCAGGGCAGCCAGGAAAGACTGGACAGCATTATTCTGCTATCAGCATCAGGGCAGTACTGCTGTTGGTGTACAGAGCTCTCAAGAAATCTCATCTGGCATACTCTCTGCAAGTGTCATCATTCATGCTCAGGATAGAAAAAACCTAAAGTTTTGGCAAAGTAGGGAGTAAGTGGAATAGGTAGTTAAGCCGTAAAGGCAGGGAGACATCTCTTCACTCCCGGTGTCTTGGAGAGCAGCTATCAAACCTAATAGACAATCTTCACAGAAGAGTGCAGTATGTCCTAATGAATATTGCTTAATTGAAGTTCCTTGTTGTTAGGGGGTTGTAGAACAGTTTCTAAAGGCACAAAACACATCAACAGCTTTAAGATGGATGCTGAAGTGGATTATATAATAGAGCAGTAGAGAACTGCACTGAGTAGTCCAAGAGATCTTCCAGAGTGGTCACCTGGTAAGCCCGGTTGGGTTGACACTGATGGCATAAGGAGGGGCTCCTGCTCCGTGTAATCTGACTCAGTGCTGCTCCAGAAAGCTGCTGTCACTCTGCGTCCCAGTTCTGCAGAGTGCTTAAGTACCTGTGCACATCAAAGCAAATTTCTCTTCCTACCTGTCACTCGTGTATGTGTGTGCCCTGCTGAATTTACATACTGAAGAGAGGCTTCAGCTTGGAAAAAAGCAGCTACTGCACGTAGTTGTTAGGTGAGATGTTTTGCCTAAAAATTCATCCTGCTAAGCCGCTTACTTAAGTTCCACCTAAAGACAACAGGCACATTCTTTAGTACAGCTGTCTTGAAAGAGATGCTTTGGGCATGGGGTGAGTGCAGTATGTGAAAGCATAATATTTTTCTTGATGTTGAAATTCGTCTTTTCTTCCTCAGTTGGGAATTTCTGGGTGTATTGTTTCATTTTGTAAGGGCTTCAGAACGCACTGAGAAATAGTGTCTGGTTATGTCAAGGCTTGTACTCCCTTCGCTCCTGGGGTTCCCACTGTGCAGATACAAGTGTGGCTTGTCCACTTGTTTCCTCCTCAGACATAAACCTCCAGTTTAAGTTTAGGATTCTCTGTCAAGTCTTGAGAAATGTTTGAAATTTTTACTTCTCTGTGCCCTGCCTCCCTCATGGCATTGAAAGTTGTGGTTCAGCAAAATATTTAAGCATGTGCTTCATTCTGTCCTTCTCTGGAAACACAGGGAAGTAATTGCAGGAAAGGTGACTGAATGCTGCTAGTTTGGCATGAGCTTAATACTTTACAAAGTTAATGCTAAATAATGTTTGAAGGAGTTTTGGTATGTGGGTTTGAAACTTATGGTATAAGTATTTAATTTTACTTGTTAATTTAGTGAGTGATTCTTGCAGTGGCTTTATGTTGTAAACTACATCTGTTCAGTGTCTTTTTTTTCTTCCCTGTGTTTTTTTCTTTTTATTTTTTTTTTTTCCTCTCTCCTCCTTGCCACCCTCCCCCTTCCTTCTCTTTAGATCGCTCTGGAATAGAAAATGTCAATTCTGTGGAGGCACTTCAGGAAACACTAATCCGTGCATTAAGGACCTTAATCATGAAAAACCACCCAAATGAAGCCTCTATTTTCACAAAACTTCTTTTGAAATTACCTGACTTGCGTTCCTTAAACAACATGCACTCTGAAGAACTGTTGGCCTTTAAAGTTCACCCATAGGCCTTTGGGTCTCACCTGTACTTGGACTTGCCTCGTTGTGGAACTGTTTTGTGCTAAGCTACGTGTTTATACCATTGTACCACTTGTGGGAGGGGGCGTTCCCAGACTGTGAGCGTGGGCGGCGGTCTGCTGCAGCAGAGTCCTCCAGCTGCCCTGCCCAGCTGGGCTGCGCCCTGCAGGAGAGGCTGCGAGGAGCCCCAGGGAGTACGGACTGTTCTTCATGTAGCAGCAAGAACACCACTGCCCTCTCAAGCGAGCTGAATGCAGAATAACTGTGTATGTGCACACGGAGCATGGCATGGGGTGGGAACGACCCTGCGCTAATAGGAAAATGGAAGAGCTGATTCAGTTGGTCTTTCACTTATCTAATAGATGTGTGTCTGTGTCTCTTGGTAACTCGCTCATGTTTTCACTGTTGTTATTCCATTAAACCCGATGGAATGATTTCGGCCTGCACCAACTCTTCACTGAGCGTGTTCATGCCATGTGTATATAATATAAATAGCTAAGTAATGGGTGTTTATGGCTATATAAAGTACAGAATTGTGTGTATATATGTGTATGTATATAAATAGTTCTATACATAAAGTATACATATAATTTCTTCACAATATTTTAAACTGTGAAGGAATTTAAACTTACAACAGAAGGTGATCTATGGGAAAAACCAAATAGATGCACTTTGCATATTGCTGAACTAATTATCTGAGCATTTATAATTTTTAGAAAACATCAAATTTGCATTAATATGCTGTGTTTGTTAATTAAAAACAAAAAAACCCAACAAAACGGAGTGGCACTAAAGGGGCAGAGTCAGACTCAACTTCTGGTAGGGGTTTGTAGAGGTTCTGGAGTGGAGATGGTGGGTTGTGGCACTAATGATATGGATTCTCCATTGCCACTGGGGTTCTCATGTTCTGGTAGAGGTTAAAGAGACACCAGATGCTCTTCAAAAACTTCAGCAACTATCAGATGAATAACAGCATCTATCAGAAAAAAAAAAAATGGGAAAAATGTATGGTTGCGTTTGGATGTATGTATGTGTGTTTTGTGGCTGTTTATTTCTTGCAATACATTATTTTGCTGCTTCATTGCTAAATGAGAATTGGAAACTAAAGTGTGAGATTCCCCTTGTCTTTTCACAGTTTGGGCTTTGTGGTTCCCACGTCTCTTCTGGAGCTCTCCATCAGTGTGTGTGTGCATGTGTGTGTGTATGTGCAGAGAGGGTGCACAGGATGGTCTAGATTTTTTTCTTAAAAAAAACAAAACAAACAAAAAAAAACCAACAAAAAACACGCCACAAAACCCAACCTAACAAATGGGACTTTTTTGGTTGTTTATGCCAGTAGCAAATTACAAAGCAGATCCTCGAGGCTTAAGATTCTGCTGCTTTTCCATCTAGGAAGGCAGCTCTCTGTGGGTTTTCTCTGTGGGTAGCAGGACCTGGCACCAGAAGAGAGATCAAAAATAAGTCAAAGCCGTTGTGTTAATTAGTTACGTTTCTGTTTTGCTAAGGTGGGAAGGAGACGCTCCCTTACCCTTGTGTTTAGGTACCTTGGAGGAGGCCCTCTGGGTCTCCAGCGCTTGCTAATGCCGCTCTGCAGGGGAGAGACCTCTCTGCTGGTCACTGCCTCTCGAGGGCTGTGGCGGTTGAGGCGGGGAGCTGGAAAGCCTCCGGACCGCGGGATTCCTCCTCGGCCTGCGGGATTCCTCCTGGCTGTGCGGGAGCAGCTCTGGCACGGCAGCCAGCCGAGGGCGGTGGAGTCAGCAGAGGCAGAGCTCTGCCTGCCCCTGGGCAGTGGGATCCGGGCAGAGGAGGGGGGTTTGCACCCCAACAGGGCACGAGCCCCTGGGGCTGGGGGTCACCCCAAGGGGAGTGGTGAGGAGCTGGCCGGGGGGCCGGGAGCAGGAGCTGAATAGGAACCGGGGGAAATTCTACTTTAGCCATGGCTGAGGAGCAGAAGACCCCCCCCCATCTCCCTGCTTGGCAGCTGCTGCAGGGAGAGCTGACCTCCTGCTTCAACCTGCTTTAACCACTGGATCGTGGCCCCGTAACATACAGTTTTGCTATCCAAATGTGCTATCTGGGAATATTGTCCTAATTTCTGTTAACAGTCTGCATCCTGCCAGTATTATTTGTTTGAGAGTTTCACTGAATTACACACTGAACCACTCAGACTTCAGAAAGGACACAGTCTTGTTTTGTATTGCTTAGGAGCTGAAATGACTTTTTTGCAGATCCCATTTCAGATGTGTAAAGTACAGTTAACCCTTGGTTGTTTTGGGAGGGAAGGAGTCTTCTTACAGAGATTGCCACCCTACAACTGTGTTTTGTTGTGTTTTGTTTTATTTTTTTTCTTCTTAAAACTGTATTATTAAGCCTTTAGGAATGTATAACCAGGACTGAGTAATTACTGCTTATTAAATTTTTAGTTAGGTTGACCATGTATGCCTATAGATAGATATTTTAACTTGTGCAATTTCATTTGAAATAATCTTCCTGTACATAATGGAAAAACTCACATAACAGAAAAAAAGCCCCGAAGATTGACTGAAGAGAAAAATTGATTCAAGTACGGTTCAGAAGTGACCCACGTATCACAAACCCTAGCTGGACTCTTAGAAGAAAATCTAAACTCATCGTGTTAGCTGTGTATCGTGATCTCTTCTTTTAGTGTGTCACTGGTTATACACTTGGTAAACGCTGAGATAATAGACTTCATGCCAGGCATTTGAGTACTGTAGATTGGATCATTGCTGAAAGATTAATGTACTGTATGACTTAAATGAAATTTTTATTCTTGATTTCATTCTTGATTTTGTTCTTGTTTTAAAAGATTAAATATGGGCATTATGTCAGCAAGCTAAACTGTGTTTCTGTTCTTTGTATTTTTCTGTATAAAATCTGGAGGGGAGGACAGCGAGCTGAGATGAACAAAGCGGAAGTTTTGTTCATCATGGGTGAGGACATCAGGTACTGTAAGGTCACGGGGGCTGCGCTGGTGCACAATGCCTGGGAGCCCACATCTCAGTCCACCTGTGATACTGGTCTGGCTTGTCTTGAAAAAAGGACAGGGTTTAGCTTTTGGTAAAGACAGTCTTAAAGCTAGGTTGTGAGAGAGGTAGTTGGACATGGCATACAAAAGGCAGAAGTCTGGGGTTTATGACTTGATTCCCTGGTTTGAAGCATTTACTTTTCTGGGAGGTAAGAGAAGCTTCTCCAGGAAATTTTTTATCAGTGTTTAAAAACCACTAAAATTAGGAACAAAATTATTGCTGCCGGCACTTGAAAAAGTAACAGCACAAAAATGCTTTCTTGGTGTCATGTTTGCATATGGCTTGCCTTGCCACCAAGCCTGAGCCCCCATGAGCAGAGCTGTGAGCCGTGGTGGTCCCAGGGCCTGAGAGCTCCTTGGGAAGGGCTTTTTCCAGCTTTCACTGGCACGTTCCACGTAGACCCCAAGGAATTTTTCCCTGTTTGGCTGCAAGAGCCCCGCTGCAGCAAGTGGGGGGGAAAACCACGATTCCGTTCCTCCTCCCACCCTCCCAGTTTGAAAGGATGTTATAGTGACAGAGGACATGAAGCATTTGTGCTGGTTTGTGGGGAACTTTCTGAGCACGGGGTCAAGTGTGAAGGTGCCCACGGCAGCCTGCCCCGTCTCTGTCCTCACTCCATGAGGAAGTGCGGGGTGTCACAAAGGGAAGCAAAGGTCCGAGTGTGAAAGTGTGACCTGCTGAGGGCGTGGGCAGCCAGCTGCCAACTGCTTGGGCTTGTGACCCACGGGCTGCCTGTGGGGTGGGAGGGAAGCGCAACCAAACCATAGAGCACTTTGATTACAGAAACAGTTCGTACAAGGAAATAATTAGCACTTCCTTTTCTTTGATGAGTGCAGTGAGCAGCTGCCAGAGCCTTCATCTGCAAGTGCTTGCCTTTTCTTCTTTTTTACTTTTTTCCTTTTAATTTGGTTTTTTTTTAGGTTGAATTCTGAAGTGAGGAGAGAGGAACATCCAGGTATGAGGAGAGTGTGGAACCACCCACCCCTGACTGAGCTGCAATGGGCAATGCAGAAAAAAACATTGTGGAGGCTGTGCTCACTGAGCAGAAAGTTGGTCAAGGACGCAGCCACTTCATCAGCGAGAGAGTGGAGCTGAGCAGGCGGGCATGGAGGCTGCAAGGCTGCATCTTCCTGGCTACTGGGAACAAGCAGGTCCATCCACACCAGCAAGCTTCCCTCCATGCAGACACTGCTCTGCAGCACCAGGCCCCTTCACAGAGCAGTTTACACCTGCTGAAAATGCAGACCCTAGCACTCCTACTCTAAGGCAGAGCTTACAGTGGTGGGGGGGCTGAACTCCAGTCTCCTATAGCTGTAGAAACAAACTGCTCCTGCCCAGCCTGAATCCTCAAGGCAGGCTGCATGGTCATCTGTGATGGTTGCTCCCCTGCATTGTTCTACAGGAAAGCCTTTGCCTCTGGCTGGATCCTTGGTGGTTACTTGTAAGTCCGATGCTTAAAACTGGGGAGAATATCTTCTCGAAGGGCCCTTCTTTCTGCCCCCTCTGCCCCATACCTCATCGTAACAAGATTACAGCTGAAATTGTTTCATGCAACAGCACTGAGTGCTACTTACAAGGTGATACAAAGGCAGAGGCAAACAGGATGTGTTAAAAGCCTGTTTGGCCCAGAAGTTGCAGCTCAAAATGAAGCACATCTAGAAGGGCCTGCTGGATTACTGCTGTACAACAGTTCTCCATTGCATATGATGCTCTGCAGACCTCGTGCAGGCAGCCCTGGATTAGCTGCAAGGCTAGATAGTTGCTGCCTTGGTTTTCATTTGTTTAATGCTGATACTCAAAGCTGTGTGATGCATAAGCGGTGGTCATGGTTTATAAAAATTAATCTAACTCTAATGCCCCTTTTTATGTCATTTTGGCAGGTTCAGTTGCCAGCACACAGCTGAAGATTGCCTCTGACCTAGGCTGGAGACTGACTCAGTTCCCAGATAGTCCCAGAATATGAGAAGAAATCGAGGAGAACCTCAGGTACCCCTTGGTCTCCTTCCCTCCTCTCCTTTGGCCCAAATGCATGCGCAGAAGCCTCAGGAAGCAACCCA